AGTAGAAAAAATCTTAGTAGAAATTTTCAAAAACCAGGAAGTTTTTATTGAAGTACAAGAAAAGTTTTTGAAAAGAAACCAAATTCTAAAAAAAAAGAAAAAGAAAAAGAAAAAGAAAAATGAAGACCTTCATATCTATAATATAAAAAAAAAAAACCTGAATGAACTAACCAAGACTCAAAAATAAGAGAACCAAAAGAAGACCCAAGTTAGTTAGAAAAAAGAAAAACTTACAGAAAAATATTTCTAGAAAAAACCTTTAGAACAAACTTACAAGAAGAAAAAAAGAATACAGAGCTATAAAACAGGAAGAAAAGACTAAAGAAAAGGATATGAGAAAACTTTAAGAGCTGGGTCTCTAACCAAAAAGAAAAAGTTAAATTGGAAGAAAAGGAAAAGAAAATACAAGTATAAGCAAAAGAATCTTGGCAATAACTCTTTGGTAAAAAATAAAGTAGAATTGTTTATTAATATAAAATTAGAATTAGATTATTGTTTTAAAAAGAAGAATAGTTTAGAAAGAAAAAATTGCTAACCAAATATAATTAAAAATTTTTTTAATTTGAAACTATCTTTTTATGGTTTTGCTGGCTAGCTTGATACAATACTCTAATATAGGCAATAGCCTTAATTAGTGAGGCAGACTACACTTGGGTACCTATAGAGAAAGCCAAGTGATATCAAATCTATAGTTTAGATAGTTTAAAATATACTTGTATATTTGCTTTGATTTAATAAAGATACCAGAAAATTTTAAAAAAAGCTATAAGTTGTGTTTTGGTTTGATATGCTTTATATATAAAATTAGATACTAAACAATTTTATTTAAATATTTATATATAGTTTTTTAGTAAAATTTTAAAAATTAAAATTTTTAAATTTGTTTTTATACAGTATTAGATATTATATTTACTAAATACAAATAAAATTTTTAATAACAAAAATAAAAATTAATTTTATTAATAAAATTTTATTTTATTTGATTTTTTTTAATATAGTTAAATCAAATTCTTGATTTTAAAAATTTTGTACTTAGGCTATACAAAAATTTTTTTGGTTTTATAACATAGAACTTTTTAAACAGACCCAGCCAGGTTATAGCCTTATAAAAAATTTGTAGTTATATAAAAATTAAATTTATAAATATTATATAAATTAGTTTTAAAAATTTATATAATTATAAACAAATATAATTATATAAAAAATAACTATAGAAAGGTTTAATAGTAGTTTATTATCAGACAACTCTCTCTAATGATTACTTGTACCAACCAGTTTCCAAAAGCAAGTTGAAGACTTAAGACCAGAAGTAAACAAATAACTTGAAGTTTTCTTAATACAAACTGTTGTTAACAAAGTCTTAAACGTAATACACCAAGGAGCAGACGTTTTGGATAGTTTGCAAAGGGTCAAGCCTTTTTATATCTCTTCTTTCTGGGTGAACTCCCTTTTGCATTCAGCATCCAAACCAGAAAAGTCTCTGAAAACAGTAAGTAGAAAGAAGACTCAAGCTATTTTGAGAACAGAAGGCTATAAAGAACTCTTGGAACAACACTCCTTGGTTGAAAAACTCACAAAACTATACTTTTCATTTGCCATTTTCTTTTTTCATAATTTTTGATAAAAAGTAGAGAATTTGACTACTCCCTCCAAAAGATTGGCATTGTTTATATTTCTATTTTTGAAAAGTCTTGAGTTACAATATGACAAATAAAGAACACAACAATTATGTATAAGGAAGAAGTTCTGTTTAGATGAAATTAAAATACATAGAAAATCTTGTATTTGAATTGGTGTTGACTATACAGAAATGAATGCTTTATACAATAGACTCGAGGAAGTAGCTTTCAATGATGCCAGTTGACTATAAGGAAGACCCTCTATTTAATCTTGTATAATGAAGAAGCAAGGTTTGAAGTGAAAACTATAAGAGGGTTTTAGGAAAAATTGGTCTATTATAACTAGAACTAATGATTATATGTTGAGGCTTTAAAATCGGTATTCTAGGATTCGAGGTAGATTTCATAAGAGTTGTAAACTGGAGCAAAATATTAGAGATATGCAATATTTCAAAGTTATATGCATATAATTTTTAACCTTTAGCACAAGTTAAAGTGTATTTTAGTTTATAGTTTTCTTTTTGTCAGATAGCTCTATGTATAGATTTCTATGACCATGTAGATAGTTTTTTACCTGGTTAGCAGGTTTTTATATCTGTAAACAAGTTCTCTTAGATTTTAGGATAGTTTTTTAGATTTCTTTATATTTTGATCATTTTCTTATATGTGTTCTTTTTTACTTCCCCATTTTCATTTTGCCCTTACCCTTTTTTTTCTTTTTTACTTCTCTATGAGAAAGTATCATCAGATTGATGACACTCTATTGTAGAGCAGTGATTCTGACAAGGTCGGTACTTTCATCTGTTGATGTCCAGAGCTTATATCCTCAGTAAGTTGAGGATCCTAGAAGAAGAAAAATTGTTACTTAGGTGGGTCGCTTCTGGGTCATACTCTAGTATAAAATTCTTGGCTTCGGCTGTGGTTTTACTGTGATAATGAGACAGATCGAGAGAATCTTTATTTGTATAGAAATATAGTAGTTTAGCGATTTGCATGTAAGCCTAGCTAGCTGAGGGCATTTTTGTAATCTACTTCTGATAAATAAAATAAAGGTAGGATCGCTGAAGTAAAAAAAATAGTAGTTTATTATATAAATACTATTAAAAAAAATTTAAATCTTATTAAATAAGATTTATAAAATTTTTTTTAGATATCAAATTTAAAGAATGTTTTTTCAGGTTGTTCAATTCTTAACTACTCTAAATCAAACTAATATGCTCATTGTTTCCAGAATATCCTAGTTTAAATATCGAATATATAACAGAAATTAACTACTAGAAAAAAAATAACTTGATCTTTACAAAAACCATCTGTGTCAGTATATCAACAACAGCCCGTTGACTCCGGAACTACGTTTTCAAGTTACATTTGGTAAAAATTTGATTTAAGTGATTGTCAAAAAGAGTGTGATAATAAGCATTTAAGCTGTGACTAATATCAATTTAAAATACATATAGTATCGAGCTATGTTTCAAATTATGTATTTCAAACCATAGTTCAAGCTATTTCAAGCCGTATTTTTAAGCGATTTCAAGCTATAGCTCAAGCTATTTTAAGCCATGGCTCAAGTCCATGGTTTAAACTACCTCAAATTATAGTTTAAGTCATAGCTTAAGCTATCTCAAGCTAAAAGCTAAGCTATAATTAATGTCTTGGCTTAAATTGTAGCTTAACTATTATATAGCTTAGCTTTGGTTAGATTTTTCTTAAATCTACGGCTAAAGCTGGCTTTTAATGAAGCCAATTACATCCCTGTTACCGGGCAGATAGATTGGTAATCACTGATTTGCAAAGACTTTAACGAATCAAGATTCTTTTTATTGCACGTAATTACAGTTCGAACCGAGAGTCAGTTCCAAGTCAGTTTCGAATTTTTGGTTAAGTTCTGCGAAATAACGATTAGATTTGGTTAATGTTAAACAAAAAACGATTGGAAAAATTTTAGGCAGTTCCCGATCCTAATTTGCAGGACATGAGCGTGAGGACATCCTTCTAACCTGTTTAAATGTTACGTGAGAAAAAAAAATCCTTTACAATTATGTAGTCAATATTAGATCATTAAACTTTTTTCGAAATGCTTTATTATCGTTATTATAAAAGGTATAGGATTTTCGAAAAACTTTCATTATCGTTATTATAAAAGTATAGGATAGATAAGAATGTTCTCAAGAATCTAACATAATTACAGGAGTCTCATATTTGTTCGATTACGTAATTATAAATGATAGAAAATAATCTAAAAATATTACGAAGGCTGTTCTTTGAACTCTCCTGAACGAATAATTTATTATAGCCCAATAAGAAATAGCTCGATACATAGGTACATATGTACGTATATGTTTATGCAATTAAAAATTTTTAATCTAAAAATCGATACGTTGCTTTTTTTATTATGTACAGTACATGTACGTACGTACGTACATAAGTGGTAAGAAAAAAATTTTGATATCAACGTCAAATACGACGTGCATACGCAAGAGACTAGAGGTAGTGAGACATTTTATGCAGTTAATTACACAAATGTAACAAGTATAAGTTACAGTAATTTCACAGTGTAACGCAGATAATTTTGATCTTTACAATTTACTGTTTTTTTCAGAAAGTTATCAGAAAATGGCACAAACTATTGATTATAATAAAATTAAAGAAGCATCCGTGAAATATCCCAAACTCAAAGAAATCAATTATACTTATGGAACTGCCGGATTTCGAATGAAGTTTGTTTTTAATCACTAAATTGATTTTTTATATGAGATCAAATACTTGAGTTTACAAAAAAATAATAATTAAATATCAATAAATTGTTCTAGAGCTGATTACTTGGAATCAGTGATCTTTCGAGTAGGAATTTTAGCAGGCTTACGTTCCAAGAAATTAAATTCCAAATTTATAGGCATAATGGTCACTGCATCTCATAATCCTGAAGCAGTAAGATTATTTCCTTTATCAAAAAAAAAAAATTTTACATAATTGATGGTAATATTTTCAAATTTAATTCGCTTTTTAGGATAATGGAGTTAAACTTGTGGATCCAAGTGGAGAAATGTTGGAACAACGATGGGAAGCCTATGCCACCCAATTAGCTAATGCTCAAAATGAAGAAGAATTGATCACTGTAATCAAATCTATTGTTTCGCAAAATGAGATCAACGAATCAAAAAATGCTGTTGTCGTTTATGCAAGAGATACTAGGTTAGTTTTAATTTAAACATTTACTATTTATTTGGGAAAAAAACCCCTATTAACTAATTAATTAATTAATTAATTAATTAATATTTTTATGATTAGACCAAGTGGCCCAAAGTTAATAGCTGCACTTGAAGATGGAATTAAAGCAATTAATGCAGTGGGAGAAAATTTAGGCATTAAAACTACACCACAACTTCATTACTATACAAATCATTTAAATTGTTCTGAAAAACCAGTAGAAGGTAATTGTGAAGAACTTGCAGATACACTTTATTACGAAAAATTTGCAAATGCTTTTCATAAAGCTGTGGTATGTTGTAATATTTTAATCTTATTAAGTATAAGATTTTATAGACGTATATGATAAAATTATTTATATTATAGGGAGGCAATCAACGTCTTTCCACCATAAATGTTGATGCAGCGAATGGAGTTGGTGCACCAAAACTGAAGGAACTCGCTGAGTGGATTGATAAGATTAATGATAACATCTTTAAAGTTGCAATCATTAATGGAGATATCAATACTCGTGGAAAGTTAAATTTTCAAGTAATGCCATACATCTTATTTTTTTTGTTATAAAACTTGATTTGTTGTAACTTGATTTGTTGGAATTAACGCTAAATTCCAATATCCTATAATCAAAGTGTGGTGCTGATTATGTAAAGTCAGGACAAAATCCTCCACTTGGATTAAGTCTTAGCTGTGAACAACGTGCGGCTTCTTTGGATGGCGATGCAGATCGTATCGTTTTCTATTATGTTGAGGAAGGTTAGTTATATGTTTATTTTTCATTATTTTATTTTAAATATTTATCATGTAGAGCATTATATGTCTTATCATTGATTATTCTATATTATATTTTAAGATGGTACATTTAGATTATTAGATGGAGACAAGATTGCAGCATTGTCTGCTGGGTTTATTATCGAACTTGTTAAAGCTGCCGGTCTCGATATAAATGTGGGAGTAGTTCAAACTGCCTATGCAAATGGAAGTTCTACTGCTTACTTGGAGAAAGAGTTGGTATGTATTTACAAGATATTTTAATTATAATATTTAATAATCTATTATAAACATTTATTTTCTTTTATCATATTTAGAAAGTTCCAGTTTCTTGCGTGCCCACAGGTGTTAAACATCTTCATCATAAAGCTCAAGAATATGATGTTGGAGTTTATTTTGAAGCAAATGGGCATGGAACAATTTTGTTTAGTTCCGAAGCGATGAATAAAATTTATTCTGTTCAAGAGTATTTATATTATTAATTTTTTAAAAAATTATCCTTTTTTGGATACGAAAATTATTCATTAATATATATCTTGTTATAATATAGGCGAACTACTGAACAAGAAAAGGCCATCAAAAAGTTACAAGCAGCATCAGAATTAATTAATCAAACAGTTGGAGATGCATTGTCAGATTTATTATTTGTTGAATCAATTCTAATTAATCGACAATGGTCATTTCAAAAGTGGAATTCAATTTATACTGATATGCCAAATCGCTTGGTAAAAGTTGTGGTAAGATCTAATTTCAAATAGTTTTTTTTTTTTTTATATCCTATAAAAAGATATTAATTTAAGCAATTTGTTGATTTTATAGGTTTCAAATAGGCAAATCTTTAAAACCACTAATGCTGAGAGAACACTTGTTGAACCTAAAGGACTTCAAGAAAAGATTGATAAATTGGTTGCACAATATAAGAATGGTCGGTCTTTCGTTAGGTATATATAAATTATTTAAAGCTATTAAATGCTATTAAAATTAAATTCGTCC